ATAGGTCACATATACTTCTGAAATTTTGGTGGAATTGTTTGACAGGTTCGAATAGCTCCCATACAAGTCTAAAAGCTTATTCTTAATATTTGGAAAAATAATAAAGTCAGATTCATGACACTTGGCAGTTGTGTGTCCGACTATAGATTGGATATATTTGTGAAGTTTTGATGGAATTGCTTGACAGCTTCAGGTACGTGCCATACATTTCCAAAAGCTAAATTTAAATATTTGAAAAAATTATAAAGTCAGATTCATGAAACTTGGCAGTCGGATGTCCAATTATAGGTCAGACATATCCGTTAAATTTCTATAGAATGATTTCACAGGTTCGAGTAATTGCTATACAATAATGAAAGGTGCAGGGTATAATTCAATCGGTTTATACCGACTGAAACGTTTTTACTTTTTGAACTTAATATAAACATTATAGACTTTTAAAATTCATGAATTATGTTTAAAACTTTAAGAATTTGCTTTCTATGTTATGTAATTTTTATTTTCGTTTTTTTCTTTACATGTATGTATGCTTCGCCTACCTGTATAATTGCTACATTTTAGTACTTTTAGTGAAAATTTTAATTTTAGTACTTTTTTATTTGAAAATACTGCTGTTAAATACAGTCTATGTATACCTACCACACTATTAAAATTATTTTCATTCATAAACGAAACTATTTTTAGGATTGCATATATTTGGGATGAACGATTTATGCAGTCTTTGAAATAAAGCAGGAGTTAATAAAAAGAGCGGTTATTATAATGCACGATTTTAAGGGTTAATTGCTTGAGTTAAGAAAAATAATTATATTTTTTAATGTCACAGAATTTACCGTTAGTTTTTTGTGTTTATAGAAATTTGAAAAAAGTTGCGGTTTCGGAAATATAGGGCGTCAAAAATTTAAATTTTACAAATTTCAAGAGGCGATAACTTGAGAGGGGGTGGAGATGGAAAAAAAATTTCTTCTTACGAAATAAAGTATTTATTAGTGGTCTAGAAGAAAAACGACATCAAAACTTAGAAAAAAAACCGGATTTTAGATAACCGTAAATTTGAACGGCCATTTTGTTTTTTTAAAGTTTGATTATAGTATGCCGCGATAGGAGAAGCAAGCCACTGCCTTTCTGTGTTTGCAAAATCACTGCAAACAAAGCCCAAAAAATGGTATTTTTCGGGCTTGGGGGGGTATAACTCCTAGAGGGGGGGAGATAGGTAAAAATTTTCTTATACTGAAATAAGTTTCTAGTAAAGATCTGTGTACATAAAAAGTTTCAGCTTTCTATCTTTAAGGATGTAAAAGCTTTGTAAACAGACACAACAGGACGGACGGACGGACAGAATGAAACTAATAAGCACTTTTTATACCCTGCACTTCGTGAAGGGTATATTAACTTTGGTATGGAGTTTGTAACTACTTGAAGGAGTCACCTGCGGTATGGACATGTATATATATTCTTGCTCAGCGTAAAATTCTGCGTTGATTTAAACATGTCCGTCCGTCCGTTCGTCCGATCGCACGATAACTCAAAAAGGAATAATGCAATCGACACCAAACTTTCACAAGTTGCTTCTTTTGTGCCAAGGACGAACCCTATTGTTATTGGACCCATTCGGACAACGGGTTCGGGTAGCTGCCATACAACTCAAAGAGTTTATTTTAATTATTTCAAAAACTAGTAAAGGTACAAATATAAAATTTTGTATTCATATGTCCAATTATATTCTACATATGCTCTAAAAATTCTAATGAGATAGCTGCACCGGTTCGGGTGGCTGCCATACAACTCCAAAAGCAAATTTTTTATAATCGGCAAAATAATAAAGTCAGATTCATGAAACTTGGCAGTTGTGTGTCCAATTATAGATCAGATATATTTGCGAAGTTTTAGTGGAATTGCTTGGCAGGTTCGGGTTCCTGCCATACAACTCCAAAAGCTAATTTTAAATCCTTGGAAAAATAATAAAGACAGATTCATAAAACTTGGCAATTGTGTGTCCAGTTATAGATCAAAGATATTTCTGAAGTTTTGGTGGAATTGCTTGACAGGTTCGAGTGGCTCCCATACAAGTCTAAAAGCTTATTTTAAATATTTGGCAAAATAATAAAGTCAGATTCATGAGCTTTGGCAGTCGTGTGCAATTATAGGTCAGACATATTTCTGAAGTTTTGATGGAATTGCTTGGCAGGTTCGGGTACCTGCCATACAACTCCAAAAGCTAATTTTAAATATTTGAAAAAAAAAATAAAGTCAGATTCATGAAACTTGGTAGTTGTGTGTTCAGTTATAGGTCAGACATATCCGTGAAGTGTCTATAGAATGGTTTCACAGGTTTGAGTAATTGCTATACAAAAACGAAAGGTGCAGGGTATAATTCAATCGGTTCATACCGACTGAAACGTTTTTATTTGTTTTTTTAAATTTTTTGGAAAAGTGCTAAAAAGATAATTATATCTGTATTATGCTTATTTTAAAATTTAATATATGATTATGTAGGTATATACAAAAATAAAAATTTTGGAAATTGTTTGAACTAAAATACCATACCTATAAAACAAATAAATTCTATGACACTCAGAAAAAATTCAAACTTTGGTAAGTAGTCAGCCAACATATACCTTGCACTATCCAGTAAGAACAAAATTTCCAAGAAACCATTACCTAGTACACAAAATTGATCAGTTGTGTAAAATAGATTGATGTGTTTTAAAACCTTTAAAACGGAAAACAAGACCTAAGGTTACAAAAGCTTTTAGTAACATTTCAATCAGATTTGAGGCTTTTAGTAACATTTCATTAACGGTTCAATCAGATGAGGGTAGAGATTTTAAAAATGTGAACTTAAAAAGTTTTTTTAAACCATATTTTAAAACCAATTGCATCAACAAATGAAGCTGCAGCAATTAAAAGATTCAATCGAACGCTAAAATAAAAGATGTTGAAGTACTTTATGGAGTAAAAATAAATTGATTCTAGTAAAAGATACATTGATATTTTCCCACAACTGGTAAAAAGTTACAATGTTTCTGTACTATGTCCTGCAGAAATTCAACCAAAGCATACTACAGAAATTTATAATAATTTAAAAAACGTTTTCAAAAAGTCCTTAATCCTGCATTGTCATTTTTATTGGAGATTTGGTGCGAGTACGTAGAAAAAAGCAACTTTTGAGCATAGATATATAGAAAAATGGAAAAGGAAATTATTATAGTCGATAAAGTTATAAATCAAGTTACAAATTATCAAGAAAGGCGAAAAGTTTATGTTTAAATAATGAATCAGTTCCATCACCCGTTTACAATGATGATTGGTGGGTCATATGATTCAGGACAACAACATTTATTTGTATTTTAATCAATCAAATGAAGAATATAATTGAGCCTGAAATAGATTTTTATGTGGTGTAGTTCAGAAAATAACGCAAAGCTGAAAAACTTAACTTTCAGTCACATTGAATATTTTCCTGAAAATGAAATTGCTGAAAATTTAAATAATGATAGTAATATTCCAACATTGATTATTTTGGGTGATTTATTAATTGATGTCAGCAATATGAAAGTTTGTGAACCTTTTACTAAAGGATCTCATCACCGCAACCTAAACAGGTAAAACTCGGTGAATGCAAAATACTTGGAGTTTATTAAAAATTCACGAGATAAATCGCAAATTTTACCTTTGGCACGAAAAATAATACCGGAAATAATAAATATTTAAGAATTTCAAAGAGCTTTTAATGAGACAACATCAGAGCATATAGCTATATTATGTTAGATCTGACGCAAAGTATAAACAATTTATTTCGATTCAGAACTGATATATTTGATAATAAATTAAAAAGCTGTGTATACCTTTGCACACTAGATTGATCTAGTAAATATTAAAAAAATAAAAATGTATTACAAAATAAAAAGTTATGTGAGAAATCTGAAACATTTGATAGCAAACTGCAGCGCATACTGCAGCATACATTAAAAAAGTCTAAAACAAAATTTTGAAATATTTTAATAAGAAATGTCTTTAACATATCTGAAACTAAAGTTTAAATTTTAAAAAAAGATGGAACACCGTGGTGTTCTGATGATAAAGGTGCAGATGTAAAAATACATTAGAAACCAATATAGTCTATTACATTCATTACATTAATAATCTATTACATTCTATAATTAAGCAGTGAAATTTACAACTCAACGGCAAAATTAACAGATAGAAATTACCATTATAGAGCTTAAATTGAACCACTGTTAAATTATGGAACTGATGCTGAAATAACTCATTTAGAATGCACCGAGTGTATTTTAGATAAACCGAATATAGCCATATCTAAAAATAATGGTTCAAAAGAAAGTCAAAAACTATATCATAACAATAACGTTGTTGAACTCAAGGGAAAACTTCCTATCGATATTTATTTATTTATTTATTTATGTTTAGCTCAAAGATTTTACATAACTTAAAATTAAAGAATGAATATACAGATACATATTTTTTAGACAGAACAAATTTTTGACTTAAAAATTAAATTTAAAAATTATACAAAATAAAACTTATTAGTACTAATATTCCATTAAATATGAATATAGACAATGAAAAGCTAAAACAAGAATTTGTTAAAATAAAGAAAAAGGTTATAACTAACTATAAGTAAATAGAAGCTTTTTCATTGTGTCTTTCTTCAGTGAAAAGTCAAGTCTGTGTTTGTGTTTGTTGCATAAACGCAGCATATTGCTGACAGGTTCATGTTTCCCATAATTAGTCCTATGAAAAGGAACCATGAAAAGATCCGAGGAACGAGACCTAAGGCTGGAATTAAACACAATTTTATTTAAAATGTCGGAGAAGATTAAGTCAGTTTTCATAAGCTGAAAAATGAATATGAAATCCGCGACGTCACGTCTTTTACCCAGTGTGGGTAGGTCAATTAATTTGAGTTTGTGCACATAAGGTGGAAGAATGATGGGGTCCTCCCAAGGAAGAAGACGCAGTCTTCTTCTTTAGTAGCTTTACAGCCCGATGTGAGCCTTAGCTTGATTGACTATCCGCCTCCATTCTGCTCGGTCCGTTACTGCGTTATTTAGGTTGTTAACTTGTAATTTGTTTAAATCGTTTATCACATCGTCTTTCCATCTTAACCTCGGTCTGCCCCTAGATCTGTTGAGTAGGGGCCTTGCGTCATAAATTCTTTTTGGAGCTCTATCAGAGTTCATTCTGAATAAATGCCCCGCCCAGCGCAGTCTTTGGGATTTTATATATCCAATAATGTCCTCATTGCCAATTAATTCCATCAGTTCCTGGTTCGTTCTAATTTCGTATTCGTCATTTTCGTTTCTTTTCGGCCCAAATATTTTTCGCAACATTTTTCGTTCAAAAACTCTTAGACCATTTATATCACTTTGTGATAATGTCCAAGTTTCGGAACTATAACTTAGAATTGGTCTCAGGATTGTTTTATATATCTGTAATTTACATTGTCTTGATAGTAATCTTGATCCCAATAGATGAGAAATTGTATAGTATGCTCTATTGGCCGTCAATATTTTATGCTTTATGTCTTTGTGGATATCATTATTTGAATTTATTTGTGCTCCCAGATATATAAAATTATTCACACCTTCGAAATTGTAGTCATTAATAGTAATATTTTGCGCCACTCTTCTTGTATTTGATCTCGATACTATCATGTACTTTGTTTTATTTTCATTTATTTTCAATCCAATTCTTCGAGTCTGTTGATCAAGCCTTGTAAATATTTCAATTAAATCACGTTTACTTCTTGACATTATGGCGATATCATCAGCATAAGCATAAATCTGGTAGGGCCTCGTAAATATATTACCTTCGATATGTAGGTCCTTGAGCGCGTAGTGTAAGGTCAGGTTAAATATGATGGTTGATATTTCGTCTCCTTGTTTAACTCTAGATGTGATGTCAAATATATTTGTACAAGATTTTTGTACCAAAACTTTTGCTTTTGTGTTATGCAGTGTCATCATTATTAAATTCGTCAGTTTTTTAGGTATTCTCAATTCGTCAAAAATATTTTCTATTATACCACGTTTTACCGAGTCAAAAGTTTGTTTAAAATCTATAAATAGCATATGCAAGTCCATGTTAAATTCAGCGCACTTTTCCATTGTTTGTCTTATACTAAATATTTGGTCAATGGTTGATTTGTTTGGCCGGAAACCGCATTGATAGTCTGGGATTATTTGCTCTGCGTAGATTGTCAATTTTTCGGCAATTACCTTTGCTAATATCTTATAAGCAGTATTTAATAGCGTTATTCCTCTGTAATTTGAACAGTCCGTTTTAGCCCCTTTTTTATGAATTGGTAAAATTATACCAATATTCCATTCACTGGGTATCTGTTCATCATTCCATATTTTAATGATAATTTTATATATTCTTCTATATAGTGTGTCATCGGCTGATTTTATAATTTCTGCAGTGATACTATCTTCTCCGGATGATTTATTATTTTTAAGTTTTTGTATTGCGCTAATAATATTTTCATAAGATGGTTTTTCAATTTCATTTAGAGCTTGCACTTCAGGTATATTATTTGTGTGTTCTATGTTTATTTCGTCATCATCATTTGGGTTTAGCATGTCCTTAAAATATTCTTCCCATCTGTTTAATATTTCCATTTCTTCAGACAACATTATTCCATTTTTATTTTTTATATTCGTCAATTTAGGCTGAAAGGCTCGTCTTTCTTGTTTACACTTTTTATAAAACCTTTTAGTTTCTTTTTCATTGAAGTCATTTTGTATTTGTATGACTCTATTTCTTATTGACTCTCTCTTTTTTCATCTGCATATTTTACTAGCTATTTTTCTCTTTGAATTATATTCATTTTGTGCCGCTCTAGTTTTTCTTTGCATCCATGCAACTCTCGCATCATTTTTTTCCTTTATAGCTCTCTCGCAATCTGCGTCAAACCAATCTTCATTTCGTCTATGTTGTTTTTCACCTATAACATCTTCGGTAGCTTGTATAATGGTATTATTTCACATTTCGTCAACATTTTCTTCAACTGCATTAGATTCAATAGATTCAATAAAATTATTTAATACGCATTTATATCTTTCTTTGTAGGCTTCATTCTTTAATTTATCAATATCCCATTTCTTTTGTCGTGTTCTAGCCACTCGTCCACATTTACTTATTCTATGTTTATATTTTACTACTGTTATGTAGTGGTCACTATCACAGTTGGGTGTTCTATATACTCTAATATCTTCACACGACGATAGTCTTCTTTTATTTATCAGGATGTGATCAATTTGATTTGTATTACTCGTCCCAGGGATTTTCCACGTACCTTTATGAATTTTCTTGTGGTTAAAGTATGTACTCATAATATAAGTATTTGTGCTTTCAGCTAATTGGCAAAGTCGAAGCCCATTTGGTGATGTTTCTTCATGTAATGTATGACGGCCTGCCACATTTTCTAGAAAATCTTCTTTACCAATTTTCGCATTCAAGTCCCCCATAATCATTAAGGTGTCATATTTATTTACTTTTCCACAAACGTCTTTTAATTTATTATAAAAAACATCTTTATTAATTTTTTCGTCATCTTCAGTGGGTGCATAAACACTAATTAGAGTCAGATTATTGAATTTTCCTTTTAGTCTTATTTTACATATACGTTCATTTATTGGGGTGAATCCGAGTATCTTATCTTTGAATTTTTTGCTTACCCAAAAGCCCACACCCGCATGTCCTTGTTTGTCATCTTTTCCTGAGTAATACAAATCAAAATTTCTTTTCTCTATTTTGCCTTGATTTTTGAATCTCATTTCTTGCAGCGCAACTACGTCAAATTTGAACCTTTCTAGTTCCTGAGCGACTTCCATCATTTTACCAGGCTGCAATAGAGTCCTTATATTCCATGAACCTAGTCGTATTTTTAATCGTTGTTCATAATCGTAATCCATATTTCGTTCCGAGGGTCTGTATCCATTTGTTCCATTTGAATTTATCCGAGGCATGTAGTCTTCTTCCATGTAGGCATGTAGTCTTATTTCACTAGGTGGGTTGTCAACCCTACGCTAGCTAGATCATGAATTTAAACCCCCAAGATCAGGGTGATCCAGTTATACCCCTGGACGCTGGGTCGCCATGTCCTCGTCTGCGTTAACAGGGTTCACCACGTGTAGGTGAGGCTGGCAATTTGAGCAGGAGAGGCTTTATATTGCGCTTCACTTCCCATTTGAACCCCATAGAAGACACAGTGCGAACCTCAAAAATTTTTTTGAATGGACTCAATCCTATTAATATGTGTATCATAATAGGGTGACCATACTTGTGAAGCATATTCAAGATGAGGACGGACCAGAAATGTGTAGAGCGATTTTAAGACATAAGGATCATTAAACTCCTTTGACAAGCGTTTAAAGACACCTAACATCGAGCTTGATCTGCACATGATATAATTATAGTGGTTTATAAATGATAACTTGCTATCGAAGCAAACACCCAGGTCCATTATTGAATCAAGTCGACTAGGAGCTTGGCCATTCAAAGTATAGTTTGTAAAAAATGGCCGTTTTTGCTAGAGTAGCACATTTGTGCACATTTACTTACATTGATTTTTAGGTTGTTACTAGAGAACCAGCCGTAGAAGAGGTTAAGATCATTCTGAAGACACAACGCATCATTTGTAGAGCTTACTTTTTTTTAAATTTTCACGTCATCAGCATATATTAATACCTCACTGTGCGTTAGCATAGAAACAACATCATTAATTGAAATTATGAACAGCAATGGACCTAAGTGACTACCCTGGGGTACACCAGAACTAGACGAAAGAGGCGAGGAAATTGCTGAACGAAAGAGGACTCTGTAAGTCCTGCCAGAGAGATATGACTTTATGCATGCTAAGAAGTTGTCAGGGAACCCTATGAGTTTCAATTTTAGAATAATAATATTATGTGGTAGTATGTCAAAGGCTTTGCTAAAGTGTGAGTAAATTACGTCTGTCTGATACCCATTTTCCATATTATTTGAAAAAACTGTCGTGGTGTCCACTAGATTAGTCACCGTGGATTTCTTTTTCAAGAAGCCATGCTCACGCGCACTAATGAGTGGCATACAATGGATATAAATATTGTCATATACCATCAACTCAAAACCTTAGGAATTGCCGACATTTTAGCTATAGGACGATAGTTTGACACGTCATTTTTATTGTTTTTCTTATGGATTGGCCTAAAGAAAGCTTCCTTTCACACGGACGGTTAAATACCCGAAGAATAAGACTTATTAAAAACTACGGTTAAGATGGGCGCCAGAGAAGAGCAGCACCTGCTTGGAATAAACTCAGAAACTCCATCTGGTCCGGGAGAAGGACTAGAAACCAAATTGGAAAAATATTTTTCAACCGCTAAACAAAAGAGTTCGTGACAAAATTTGTAGAGGTAGTTTTAGGATAGTTATCAATGTGCCAAAAGTTGTCGACATTTAATTGAAAAGATGAAAAGAGTAAGATTTGGCGAAAAAGTTACGAAAAAATTCGGATATATTTTGGGAATTATTACTTGCATTCCCGCCGAATTTCAAGAAGATTGGATAACTATCACTTTTCCTCTTATGGTTTATGAACTTCCAAAAGACTTTGGGATTACGTATTAAGTTATCCGAAGTTTTATAGATATAGTAGTCGTAACGTTCTTTTTGTTGCGAAGTACCCTCAGCTCTTGTGAAAACCATGGAGGGCCAGAGCCAGTATCTTTAGTTTTCAACACTGAAATAAACAATTCAAATGCAGCGAAAATGATTTCGTAAAACTTACTCGTCATAAACTCAATATCAGTAAAGATAAATACTGAAGATAAGTCGTAAGTAGAAAAGAAATCATTTAGCAATGCGAAATTCGCCCTTTTAAAAACAAAACTATAGAAAAGGGGCTCGTCGATAGATAGTTGGTCGTCAATGCAATAAGAGAAAGATATCGGAGGATGATAGATATCAACGTTAACCAACGGATCCGGGACAGTTGTAGGTAAACAGTTATACCAATTGGAAGTAAAGACTAGATCCAGTTGCCTCGATTTATGGTTTGTTATTGACGATATTTGTTGCAAATTATTTAGATGAAGGGTATCTATAAAGGACAACTCCAACTCACTAGAACAGTCAATTGATATTAAAAATGGTTCCTCATCATGAGTCATCCACCATCAATTTTGGGGAGATTAAAATTTCCGAAAACAAAAATTACACCCTCATGGTTAAAAGAATTGCATAAATAATAAATTGCCGAAGAAAATTTTGCATATAACTCAATACTTGAGTTAGGCGGTATATAGCAATTGACTACGAAAAGCATTTTGACTTTCAGCTCAATTTTAACTTCGATAATCCTCTGCAAATAATCAATCCATTTACTTTTCATATGGCTCCTAAATGTTTGTAAATCTTTATCGACACTGGCGGCAGATATATTTAAAGTGTCATGAAATTTTTTGAATAAGCTATATAAAATAGTATAGTCAGAGGGAAGGCCCTCACTTTCAATAAAAACCTTAACACCTAATCTAGTTTTACCATCGTGGTGCACATTCTCCGCTGCCTCGTGAAGATATGCCAAGTACAATTTAACATTCTCATATACAGCCTGATCTCTAAAGCAAGATAGTACATAAGTACTGTCGCCATCTTCAACGGACCTTTTGGTCATACGAACGATCGGAGGAGTCAGCGGATCTACAAAGTTAGCAGGCGGATGTGTTTGCAATAAGCGAGCCTTGGATAGGTTGTGAGGGTTGGGTATAGATATAGAAAATTGGGTGTTAGCTCTAAATGTTTTACCCTGAATGAAACTTGGGTATTTGGTTCCATTGTCAATATTATTGTTTTTGTTATTATTTGTATTGTCGCTATGGTCTTTTTCATTAATTTCATCGTTATTAATATTATTGCTATGAAGATTTATGTCACTATTGCTATGATTATTGTTACAGTATAGTATTATATCATTATTGTTGTTACGGTATAGATGTTGCTATTATTATTACTATTATTGTTGTTATGATTATTATTATTATTATTTTTATTATTGTTATTATTATTATTATTATTATTATTATTATTATTATTATTATTATTATTATTATTATTATTATTTTTATTATTATTGTTATTATTATTAATGTTATCAGCATTGTTACTTTTATTATTACTATTATTTTTAAAATTTTTTATTTTCCCTTTTTTATTACTGTTATTGTTCCCTTTAAGTTCATTGTTATGGGAAAGAACCTGTCTAGTATGCTTGCCTATGCGAGAAGAATCAGTGCGTAAGGAGTTGTCTATATTGTTTGTATTTTGGAAATGAACCTGTTTCTTGTTCCTCTTATTATTAAGTGGGTTAGTAAGTATTAGTGTAAGTTTAGAGTGCATTGAAGCATTAGCTTTCTCGTAGCCAACATCTCGTAGCCAATACTGAATCACCGTACCTACATGCCAAAACTTATGACCAATTATGTCATCAGCTATGGAAGAAGGTACAGTAACTTTGAAAACTTGTATCTGGGCTTATATTTTAAGTTATTTGGGGTGATATTAGCTACGGTTACATTATCGCACTTAAATTTTTCAGCTAATAACAACATAAGGCTACTTACTGTGGTGGTCACTGGGAATCTTGAAAAAAATAGGTCCGAACATCGAGCCGAAGAGTTGAGGGAAGATCTAGCGGCTGGTCGGATGGAAATTCTGGTGCAATTAGTGCAAGATTTTTCATTTGAGCAATTAGTTTCAGCAGCGACGGACATATTGGAACTCGTAGCAGGCTCAGAACAGGTCAATTCATCCTGCAACGATGCACTACTGCCAACTGTTGGCTTGAAAATAGCAGGCCACGGATTAACTGTTGATCCCAGAAAAGACTCATAGCTCCATGGTTCGTTGGTCTGACACCAGGCATCTTTCGTGTTTAAACTTATATAAGCCAGGTTGAACTTATATGTGTCAAATTATGTATCAAGGCTGGCATCTACCTTAACGCATAATTTGTTCACGTCGCCCTTAAGAGAACTAACTGACTCCTTAAGAGACTCCATGCAAGTGCTTTTAGAGTCCATTAGTTTTTGAAGTTTATCATTAAGGGAAAACTCCAATCTTTTCCGTAACTCCTCTAGATCTACTGATGATGCCTCCTCGTTTATGGGTAGTTTGCTTAAAGTGCAGTTGGGGGCTTCATAATCATTTCATTTCATTAAAGGATGCCGAATTGCTTCTAATAACGTCCAGTCCCATATACTCATCTTTTTGCTTATTGAGGGATGCATTAATTTCTTTGAACAAGTCGCGCAGTTTAGAATGATGGTCCATGCTTCCTTCACACACAAAATATTGCACCAGAAAAGAGGAGTACCACTCTCTAGGAGCACTCAAACAGATCCCATGGAATCTTTTGTTGCAAAATCCGTTGCAAGTAAGCAATTCACTTTTAACGTCTGATACAGAGCATATTGAACTATCGCATCTGTAGATCGAACTCATCTCGATAATTATTCTACTCTTTTAACTTTTAATTACTTTAAATTTTAAGTACAAGATAATTTAAGTGGTATGGCAACTTTTATTAACAGAAAAAGCTATTAGCTCTTTTTTATTTTTTTTTAATTTTAATTTTTTTTAATTTTAATTACTAGAAAAGTTTGCAAAAAATTCAAGAGCAATTTTTTTTTTTTCTCTTTTGCTTTTGTTCTACAAAGAACGTGAGAAATACTGCTAATTTAATAGTAAGTTATTGTTTTTGTTTTTATAGTTCTTCTATATTATTAAGTTGCAAAGTTAAAGTTTAGTAAATATTATTGCTACTATTATTATTATAAAGCGTAAACAGAAACACGACCGTTCTAGTTAAGTGTAATATGAGTTAAGTATGTTTGATCAGTCTACGCTTTTAATAAACAATATTAAAAAAAAAACAGATTTTTTTCGAGTCTGATGAATCGCAACTAAAAATGGTTAGGCCAATTTATATATGAGAAAATAA